AGACCACGATTGAGCTATAACACTAAACCAAACTCACTGCTGTGATAGGAAAAAAATATTCTCCATCTATGAGTGATAGCAACATCAATGCTTCCGTGATTTTTCCCAACATCTCCTTTTGCAGAATTATAAGATACAGTTTCAGTATTAATTGCTGAAAAGCACTCTGTAAAATCTGTACACTTGCTTGTGAGCATAGGAACTTCTAGTGCTAAAAGAGCCAACAGGACAACTAAAGGGGTTTATGCAGCACAAATAAATCTACACTCGATATTTTCACAAAATCAAATGAATCCTATAAAACATAATTACTGCGTAGCAGTGGAATTTTCCTGTATTCAAGCTGCCTTGCTAATATTCATTTTACGTCTTCAAAATGAATATATATTAATTATCAGCATATATAAAACTATGTTAAAAATACATATTTCCTATTCTGCATATATACACTTACCTGTCTTTGTGTCACTTCCAAAAATATATGTCTTTGCAAACGCAAGCAGAAGCACAATGAAACCATACAGAATTAAGCTAGAAAATCCAATTTATTTATTTATTTATTTAATCCATTGAGCTAATTCTAAAATGGAGAAACTGAGATCGACAATGTCTCGTGTAGAAATGTTTTCTGGAAATGGAAAAATGGAAAAATTAAATTTAGAAGTACCAGAAAAAGAAAAATAGAAGAAAAAAAATTAGAAAAATAAGAAAAGGAAAACTGTGGCAATCAACAATGAGAGAGAAAATATAATAAACATTATGGATTGGACGCTGAATGAAAAATTAATGTTGTGGATATCAGTCTTCACTGCAGAAAACCAGTAACGGTCTTATAACAGTTCTCTGTAGATTAGAAAAATGAGGAGAAAGTACTTGTTCCAAAATAAAGAAAAGCCTCCATTACCATCATGGTCAAAATGGCATCCATCTACAAATTCCAGCTCAGTTTCTGATATCTGTTCATCACAGCACATTGACGAGTAATAAGATCCCTCAAAGCCAGCACCTGAGCACTGGGCAGGCGTTAGATTTGTACCTCTTCCATGAGAGCATGCTGCAGCGCAAGCTTGGCCAACAGGCTGTAATCTCAGTATGAGGTAAACAAGAGCACCAACAAGTACAGCACAACTAAGGCATGTCTGTACAACTTCTGAACTCAAATTATCATTACCTATTGTTCATTCATGCTTAATGCTATAAAAGTTACTGAATTTTCAACATTTTGAGAAAGTTCTCTGCAACAGGCTATAGAGGAAATAAAGATGCAGATAGGTAAGAAAAGTTTCAGATATGGATCATAAACTGCTAGAGCAGGCACAAACAAAAACCCACCCAGTGGATCTTCACTGGGACTGAGCATCACAGTGCCCAGCACAGGAAAGCACAAGATGCCACAGGAGCTGTCAAGCTGTAGTTCTGCAGGGGCACTGTGTGAGTGATGCTGAAAAATAATCTTAGAGCAAGACTTCCAAAACCACTCTGTATTTGTTCGCAAAAGTAACTTAAGCTCTAAAGATATCATGTGTTCCCAAAAATTTCCAAGAGGTAGGAGACCAAACCCTCTGCAAAAGTGAGAGCAGATGAAATTTTAGACCCATAAGCAAGAAGAGTTTGAACAGCCAGTACATCAGCAGCAAGAGTCAAACCAGGCAACTCAATGTGAGGCCCAAAGAAAGCGACAGAGAATGCTGCTGAGAAACTCAGGAGGTTATCATAGAGACTGAAATAAGAGTAACAGAGAGCAAGGGAAGTGAGAAGGAAGTTTCTCAACTGTGCCAATATAGACTTCCCAGATGCGTCTATTCCACGACAGCTGGATGCTTATCAGTTTGCCAAATGCTTATGTAAAGCTACAGCCAAAGACCACATAAAAAAAAAAAAAAAGCTGACATTTCTAATAGAAAAAAAAATTAGAACTGAGAACTTATTTTGACCCTTCACTTTACAGATGTCAAATTCCATGAATGTAAGGTATCTTTTTAACAAACAAAACTCTTTAACAAAACTGCACCACAAGAAGTTGTATTCGGGGTGATCTCATCCAGTGATAGCTGGTGTTAGGACACTACAACCTGAGCAGAGAAAGGAAGAGAGTGGATCGAAGAAGGAAGACCTAGATCTATGCTATGACTTGCACATTTTTGGGCTTACTGCTCCCAGCAAAGCAGGAAAACATACTGTAATAGATATTATGATTCCTGAGTGCAGTCTAAAGGAGCTTCAGGGGTTTGTGCTATGGCAGCTCCCGATACCTCAGGCCCTCCATCCCAGCTCCCATTTAGCACGCACCTCTGTTTTCTTCTGCTTCAATCTCCTGCTTCTCCACATTCGTTCTCCCCTTACATCATTCTCAACAGTACCAACATGGACACAGGTGTGAGAGCAGCACATTTCCCTGTCGATACTGGGTGTCTGCACATGGCTCTTTTTGCCCACTCTCCCTTTCTCCCCGTTGCGGATGATGTCATCTGTTCTCACCATCTCAGCAAGCAGCTGCACAGCGCTGCCTTGTAAGCATGTCTATCCTTCCACCTACTCCTGAATGCCTCCATATGGTGCTGCTGCTTCTCCTGATTTTCTCTCCAGAAAACTTGAGCTTGATATGCTCTGAACTCAACTCTTATCATTCTTCTCTAACACTTTTTGCAGATAAAACTTTGGCCATTATTGCCTCCTGTAACATAACAAGTAACTTGTGACTCCTTTGCATACATTTGAACTACGTATCCAAACTATACACAAAATCCTGTTACTACCGTCCTCTATATCCACATCATTTTCCTTCTAACACTACAGCCTGACTGAAGAATTAGACAGGGAGACTGAGATTAATCTGTTTAAATTTAGACAGGCTTTCCTACTTATCCTAAGTCATACTGCAAGTGAAGCAAGTAAATCTCTAATATATTACGAGGTATATATGCTTCATTTCAGGAATCCCCTTCAACTCTTGGTATTCACTAGCTTCATGCTCTTGCGAGGCAGGAGAAGCAGAAACAGCTTGAAGGTTTCAAGCAGCTGCTACTTGGCAGAGTACCCAGCACCTGCTGAATCCAGGAGCTTCCTTCAAAGTTTCTGCAACCTTTTTTTTTTTTTTCTCTACTACTTCACTATAAAATTTTCTAGAGGTAAAAGAGGAACAGAATCACAGAATCATAAAGGTTAGAAAAGACCACTAAGACTACCTAGTCCTACCATCAGCCCATCCCCACCATGCCCATAAACCATGTCGCTCAGTGCCACAGCTCCACTTTTCTTGAATGCCCCCAGAGACAGTGACCCCACAACCTCCCTGTGCAGCCAGCACCTCTCCACTTTACCTGAGAAGAAACTGTTCCTAACGTCCAACCAGAACCTCCCGTGGGGCAACATGAGGCCATTACTTCTCATCCTATTGACCGTCATTTACCTGGCAGAAGAGGCCAATGCCTGCCTCACTACAACCTCCTTTCAGGTACTTGTAGGGAGCAGTAAGGTCTAGGAAACACACTAGAGGAATATGCAGCCATTAAAAAATAAGAAAGTACAATGTTACCTAAACCTAAGTAGCATATTGGACAGTTGAGGAAAAAGATAAAGAAAAAAAAAAAACAAAACAAAAGAAATGTTTACATAGTTGCCATTTATGATTGCACAGAACGTCACCAGTATTTGACCAAACTTATCTTAATATAGTAGCCTCAATAAGAACCACACATTAACAGTATTTTACCAAACTTTTCAGAAAAAAATCTTTCAAATCAAGAAAAAAACATAAAATGTCCAAACCTCCATGCTGATTTGACACAGATAACCAGCAGAACATTTTTACTGAGATATTCTTAAATTACTTGCTTCTGCAAACTGATGCTAAAAATTATTATTTTGGGTTGCACAGTTCATTCATCTCTAGAAATTATTTTAGCACTACTAGTAATTAAAATTGACACTGTGCCACACTTTCCTTACTCTTCATTAAGAGACTGTGAGCACTGTTTATGTTGTGAGCAGATTCAGAAATAAGTTACAAAACAAAGAAGTGAAAACGAAAACCCTCTGCAGTCTCTACAAAGGTTGAGAACGTAATGCAAGGCACAGCCTTACAAAAACCTGCCAAGTCTCCAGAAAAATCCATGTGGAATATTAAAAAATTGTGTAAAATTAATATTTCAACAAAATTTACAGGCAACGCTACTGCACATGTGCTGTATGTGGTGATGGATCACAAGAATCTTTCCTGATTCATGAACTAAACTGAATTATTGAGCCATTCTGAGGATCTGAATAATCTCTGAATCTTAATTGAAATGTTACTAATATACAAGGGGGTGTTGACTTGTCCTGAATATTATTTATTGAAGGCAAGACCTAAGTGTTGACTTGCATATAAACAGACTGGAGAGATTCAGTTGGCTCACAGAAAATAGGAGGCAGTTTTATTTTGGAGATATTTCTAGGACAAAAGAAAAGAAAAAATCACAAATGGAAAGGAGACAAACGCAAATATAGATCGTTGGAAGCTTTTTAAGTAATAAAGGTTTAATCCAATTTTTTTTACAGCATCATGTGGTTTCCAGTGTACACAAAGTGAAGAGTGAAAAGGTAAAAATAACACTGGCATAGCCTTAATATATTCCAGAATTCATAAATCATTTGTAAATTTAGTCCTTTTATAAAAGAATCCTTATATAAATCAGGGAGGGGGGGCAAGGGGGGAATCAATCCCATATATGAAGCACAGTTTAAGCCCCACATCACTGACCAATCAAAATTAGTGAATGCACTGCATCTCTCTGCAGTGAAGGGAAGCGACAAGGTAGGCTGTCATTCTGCAAAAGCTGCCCATCGCAAGCTCGCCTCTCCGAAGCGCTGCTCTGCTTTTTTAGAAAGCCTGAATCTCAGTGGTGTCTCTGGAGACAAGAAGCCTTCAGTATGTTAAATTACTTTCATTATGTATTTTCAAATGCTTATTGATTCTACAGTAGGAAGAGTGGGAGACTGCAGCAGCCTCTAAACCAGAACTAAAGCAGTTGTATACATTAGCAGTATGCTGAAACAATGGCACACTACAGGCACAAATTCTCATTAAGGTCATTTTTCGAGGATGTGCTTTTCACCCTCTTTCCCTTCTTCTCTGCTAACAAGTGAACAAAATGAATCCCTCCAACCTGGAACTGCTTCACCTGCACCGAGAATTTATCAAACCTGTAGCGGAGGTAAGATCTGTTCCTTATTATGGTATGCAGAATAAGCAGCATTTAACAAAAACGGGGGGAAAAAAAAGAGGAAAGAGGAAGGTATCAGATTCAAGTGCTTGTATTAAGCACTGCGATCGTGTTGTATTTGAGTCCGGGGAATATCTGAATGCTGTTTCCCCATCCCTATTAAAAACACAGTGGTAGACAAATGCTATTTTGTATGGAACTCTTGCAGAATATTAAGAACCTGTTTTGTTCATACAATATAAAGCCAGTGTAATTTAGCTTAATATAGTACTGGGGAAAAAAAAAAAAAAAAAAAAAACCCGGAATGCAACTGGGAACATTTCTTTCCTCCTTCAGCAGTATTTCCAAATATTGGCAGTTAAATATGTTACAGATTTATTCAGTTGCTCTCTGAAGGAGCCGACAGTCTGTTAATTGCTGTACACTTACTGTTTTATGAAGGTCAAGTAATATGACTAATCTCTGACTTGCTCGTGAAAGCTCCCTTCTTTTCCCTGTTTGGTCGGTTTTTAAGACTTATTTCTTCCCCTGTCCCTCCAAAATCATCACTTCTAGAAACACTGATCTGCAGCACATTTATTTCAAGAAATACAATTTTAACAGTGTGCAAATTAAACAAAAATGTATTCCCTACAAAGTTTATCGACTTTGCTCAAATTCTCTTTAGCAGATCAGAGAGCTGCATGCATAAAGTAGCTGCTGCTTAGAGCTGAGTGTCACAGCACTTTACCTCTAGCAGTTACTGCTTCCAGTTAGTGTTTCCTGCAACCTGCACTGTTTGCAGAATAGGAGACTTGTCCAAAAAACTAAATTCATGCAAGTTAACACAAACATGACATGATTTTATTAGGAAATAAGGAACATGATAACTGATCATATCTTCTGTAAGATACAATTCTAGGCATTCTTTATTCGCCAAATAAGTGATATTACAAAGTATATCATTGCATTACTTTATTTTGAAATTCTAAGCCCTACTCTTAACCTTTTTTTTTTTCCCTCCCCTTCACAAGGGCATGCAGCAACTAATTCAGTTTTACAACTGACAGTATGAAGAGTGCAGTTGGCCGGGTACCTTTCTAGCTGTATGACCTACAAGCAGCAGGACTCACCACTACCGTGCATTCTTAAGGCATAAAGGAATTAGAAACAAAACATGGAGCACACTTGTACTCACACATCAAGAATATATGTGGAAGACTGATGCATATGCTCAGATTTCATTGGAAGAAGAATAAGAGTGATTCTTAAAATGGTGAGCATTTCTTAAAGAGGGATTTATAATTTAAAACCAGAACTGTGGAAACTACCGATGCATGAAGAAACAATGAAACATGAATTCCCAAAAGGAGAATATGCATTCTTCACCAGCAAGCTGCACAAGGGTTTAACCACGCTTTTTCTATACTGCTCATTAAATATCTTATTTGTCATAATGACTAATGGATATTTTTCTCTCAATTTTATGATCTGTTATGTATTCTCCTTAAATGAAAATAAACCAAATTAGGTAACTCATGGTTACTGTCAAAGCACACGAACTGGATTTTATGATGTACAGCAACTTCTTCAACTAAGCCATCACTCAAAAGTAACGAGCAGGAATATTACAGAAAGAAATGCGCAACTGTAACTAAAGGATGTCTACATACACTCCGAACACAGAAGGCAGATATTCTTCTATTTTCTTTTTTAAACCTGGAAAATAAAAGCAGGCTGCTACAAAATGCAAGAGGGGAAAGAAATTAACATCACCTAAAGAAGGTTTGTTGTTGCTGGCCTGGAACTTGGCACAGACAAAGTATCTCAGGCAACTGAGGAGTCCCCATGTTTAATCAAAATTTTCTGCTGCTGAAGTGCTGGAGCAAAAAGAGGAAAAAAAAATCTGCAAGGAATGAAATAGGAGCCCAGCTAGCACTTGGTTTCCAGGTGACAGTGCATGTCAAATATCTGTCGGTGACACCATGTATCAATTTATGACAAGCTGCTACCAGGAGCTGAAAGACCCTTGAGGCACAGGAAGCAGGTAGGTCACCGGCTGTGTGCCGCAGCCCCTGCTCCGCGTTGCACCGGAGCAGCACCGTGCAGAAGGGCAGCGCGCCCAGTAAATTACCTCTGCTCTGACATTTACACTCGTACTCACCTGAAATTAATCAGTGAAACAGAGAGGTGATGCCCAATCTTCGATTTTACAGATATAGTTCATCCGAAATTCTCAGTTGCCACAAAATTTTCAGAATCACAGAATCACAGAATTGAGTAAGATTACAGTTCAGATGTTGTGGGTTTTGGTTTTTCAGTGTTTGCTTTTGTTTTGTTGCTTTGTTTTTGTTTTGTTAAAGCAAGACCTGCTTTTGATTTCCTCCTGGCTTTCACTAACACAAAAGAGCTCACTGTACCCAGTAATGCATCTGGACCACTTCTTGAAATACAGTCAAAGCCAGGACACGCAAACAGAGGAAATCATGTTCCTGAGGTTTAATGTAAACCCATCCGAATTCACCTAAACTGGAAATGAAACAAAGCTTTTGAAATGTTTGTTTCATTTCACACACGAGTCTCGTATGTTCTCATTTACATCTTTTATATTTAAGAGCTAAATGTGAAATAACTGCTGAAGCATACCAAGACTTTTCATCTTACAATTTGCAATTAATAGTATTGTGCAATAGAGGCTTTTCAGAACTGCAGATGAAATCCATTTGCATACCGTATCCCAAGTGTGCTGAATTCATACTTTCATTAAAAAAGCAGTTTTGTTCACCTTAGTGCTATCCATTCTTAATGGATTCAGATTGGGAACAAAGGTCTGCATTTAAATTTTGTTTCATGCCAAGTACTTCCCCTCTTAAATTTAAAACTACTTATAAAACCCTCAAGTATCACAACAAGAAACTGAACGACCTCTTATTTATTCATCTCATTACAGCCTCTAGAGCTGGCTGACAACACAAGCAATGCACACGCCAGGTATTATTAACACAGATGCTCTGCTTACAACCTGCCGGTGTGTGGAAACCAAAGCACGTGCAGCCACGAAATAAAAGTACGAGATGTAATAAATGCTACTTCTTTGGGCCTCACTTACTGCTGGGATAAATACAATATGGATTTATATTTGTTGGATTTAATTTCAGTATGTAAAAAATCTGGAAGAGACGATTTTACATTTAAGTACTGTTTTATAAAACTTAAATCTATTCTGGAATAAAATTAAATACTCTTCCATCAGGCACTAATTTTCTGAAGAAACAGAATATTTGAATCAGAAAGAGGAAATATAGCATTTCTGTAATGAATTCCATTACCCCAAACCTATGTAAGGTTCTTGCTGGAAATTAAACATACTTAAATAGACTGTAGTACAAGTTTCATACATGTAGATGCACACCAGATAGAAGAGAACAGAAGTCTTAAAGTCCTATAAAAATCTGTTTAATTGCATAACTTCAGGTCTCAGTTTATGACACTCTTAGAAAGTCTTCATCAGGATGCTGCTAAATTGCTGTCAGATATTTTAAATGTTCCTTTTAGGATACATAAGCAACAGTGCTCTACGCTTCTATCACTTCCTTTTTTTCCACAAGAGCCTTTTTAAAACGATCTTCAGTACTAATTTGTCAATACTTAACAACATTCTGCTGAAATAGCACTCACCACAATACAAAGGCAAAGCACAAGTACAGTTTATTCAACAAATGGGCCTTTTGTACAGGCCACATCACTATAAATAAAGCCTTGTCTCCCCTGAGTGGAAGCTTTTCATCTTTTTTTTTTTTTAAACAAATCTTGCTTTCCTTTAAAAAGGAAAGACCTTATTGTGGATCCTCAGGCTTTTGGGTCTATGCCAAATACAGCTCTAAACATACAGTAAATTAAGAGTTTGTTAGGAATGGATGCTTTTCCTCTATCCTCCATTCCCATCGTTTTTTGAAAATAACAGAAAGTGTTAAAAAAAGAAATCAAGTAGTTCCGTGTTTATTTCACCTTTCAGGAGAAAAAGCAACTGCAACAAAAGAATGTGTTTCTCCCCCATTCTGGAAGGCAACATGCAGTTTGAATCTAACTTCACAGTTCGAGATGCCATTGACGACATCGACACCAACATGTACCGACCACTGTCATATGCATTAAGCTTTCAAGTGTCTCTCACTGGATTTTTGATGTTAGAAATTGTTTTGGGACTTGGCAGCAACCTCACCGTGCTGGTACTTTACTGTATGAAATCCAACTTAATCAATTCTGTCAGCAACATAATTACAATGAACCTTCACGTACTTGATGTAATAATTTGTGTGGGATGTATTCCTCTAACTATAGTTATCCTTCTGCTTTCACTGGAGAGTAACACTGCTCTGATCTGCTGCTTCCACGAGGCTTGTGTCTCTTTTGCAAGCGTTTCGACCGCAATCAATGTCTTTGCTATCACTCTGGACCGATACGACATCTCTGTCAAACCTGCCAACCGAATTCTGACCATGGGAAGGGCTGTGATACTAATGACATCAATATGGATCATTTCGCTTTTTGCCTTCCTGATTCCTTTCATTGAAGTCAATTTCTTCAGTCTTCAAAGCGCAAGTACTTGGGAGAACAAGACACTGCTGTGTGTCAGCGCAAACGAGTACCACACCGAGCTGGGGATGTACTACCACCTCCTCGTCCAGATCCCAATCTTCTTCTTCACCGTGGTAGTGATGCTAATCACGTACACCAAAATACTCCAGGCTCTTAACATCCGAATCGGCACAAGATTTACAACGGGACAGAAGAAGAAAGCTAGAAAGAAAAAAACTATTTCTCTCACCACACAGCACGAGACCACAGACATGTCGCAGAGCAGCGCAGGAAGAAACGTGGTCTTCGGCGTAAGGACTTCTGTGTCTGTGATCATTGCCCTGCGCCGAGCCGTGAAGCGGCACCGGGAGCGGCGAGAGCGGCAGAAGAGAGTCTTCAGAATGTCCCTCCTGATCATCTCCACCTTCCTGCTCTGCTGGACACCCATCTCCGTTCTAAACACCACCATCTTGTGTTTGGGCCCAAGTGACCTTTTGGTAAAGTTGCGCTTGTGTTTTCTAGTCATGGCATACGGAACAACTATTTTTCACCCTCTACTTTATGCATTCACAAGGCAAAAATTTCAGAAAGTTCTGAAAAGCAAGATGAAAAAACGAGTTGTTTCAATTGTGGAAGCAGACCCCATGCCAAATAACGCTGTCATACACAACTCGTGGATAGAGCCTAAAAGGAACAAAAAGATCACCTTCGAAGACAACGAAGTAAGGCAGAAATGTTTAGTACCTCAGGTTGTCACTGACTAGACTTCAGTATTCACCAAAACACATCGAGGAACATTTGAACAAACCGTAGAGAAATACTGCCAAATAAGAAAAACATTTTTTAACTATTGGCTAGACTGTATATTTTCCAATATCTGTGTTAAATAGAGTAGGTCTTGTAGATTCAATTTCTTCATTATGTAAGATATCTGTTGCATGGCCGTTTGTTAGCGTAACACCATGTGTATATTTGTCAGAAATACTCAAGTCCTCTTTTTTAGAAAATAAATAGCCTTAAAGAAGTGCAAACTTTTGAAAACATTTGTATGGCTCAGTTTCTCTGTAAATATAAAATAATTTTTAAACAAGAATTCCATTCGGGAATCTTTCATTTTCTAAAGCACAAACTCAGCATTTTGCCTGGTATATTTTTAAACTGAATTCATAAACACAGATCAGAGATATTCTGATCACTGTATAGCTACAATTTAGTCACATTTTAATCTCATACTCGGATATGCACTTATTTACTTATTTCAGATTTCTCCAGCATCCCATCAGCATGCTTCTCAATTAATGATTCAGAACCAGTTATTTTTATTTGAATCACATTGGTTGAAAAACTTCTAAGAAAAGAGGAGAAAAAAAGTTCTTGCATATTGAAACAGCTGATCACGGTCTCAGATGTAGAGTTCTGGTATGGAAAGCACAGAATATTGAATAATTATATGAGAGGCAGAGGGAGACAGTGGGAAAGATGCACTACATGAGGGCGAAAACACAGATGAGAAAGTCACTGGTCCTGATATTAACAGGCAAGAACCAACAAAACCATTTCTGTACAGTCTCAGATGCTCACGCTGCAGGGGCTTTGCAGCTGGACCTCCAGCATGACACAGGGATCTTCTGGAAAGACAATACTCATTCATACCATCTATCATCATAGATAGATAAAGCTGTCAAGTGCCACAGCTAAATTAGAAACAATTTTCTTGGCCTCATTAGCTTTCATATTATTTGGGTTTGCTCCAGTGATGTTCAGTTCTGGTCATGCAACTGCTGTAACACAAACCAAATCCCACGATGGCTTAGCTAACCTATTTCTGGATATTCTGGACAGATGTGTCATACCATTGTTATACACCCTCTTTTTCCATTTCATCTCATGCCTTCAATGAGTACACAGAAGGCCTTCAGAAGCCATCATCTATAGCACTGCAAGCAAGAACTGAGATACTCATCCCCCCACTTTTTCTGGGGGGTGGTTTGAACTATTCCATATACAAAAACCTCAGCATTTCAGTGAACAGTGGCTACATTAGTTGACCTTTAAAAAACCTACAGAAACAATTAGTGAGAATGATTTAACTTGTCTGGCTATATAAACTCCTCAGTATATCACCTGCTACCATGACAATTAGAAGGATAATTCTCAGTAAACGCTGACTTCTATTAAAAAAGAAACAAACAAACAAAAAATCCAACAGAACATATCCTTGAATATCAGAGCTACTTTGACTGAAGTATTACAAAAAACCTGAGTACTTCTGAAGTGCTTCTCCAAAGTTGCCTAGGCAAAAAATTAATTGTGGCTTTCAGGGAGCAAAATGCTATTTTCCATCACATTATTAAATCATGTCTGTATTGCCAACATTTTCTGTGGTTTAAAAAGAAAAAAGGAATAAGAAATGAAAAGCTGACATGTGATGAACCTCAGTTTACCCAAACAGAAGACACTAACTGATGCTCCATATTCCACAAAGACCAGGAACTTAAAATTATCCAAGTTCTACCTATACATTCTATTATCTAACTGGTAATTTGTTTTCTAAAATTATGGTACAATATACATTCCAAGACAGCTACACTGGCTTTGTTCTAAAAGCTAAACCAACTATACCAGCATTCAGTTGTATCTGCTTATAAACAGTGTGGATCAGTGTGAATTTCAACCAAGCTAGATCTAGGTTCTAATAAGAATAAAATCCTTCATTTTATTCAGAGGCAAACCTAATAATAATAGATTTTTATATTCTTTTTTAATCCCATATGTCCCAAATTTAACACTTCCAAAAAAAAAAAAAAAATCCTGCATGAGTAAGCTCTTGTGAGAAGATGCGAATCCAAAAAACTACAGCTGGTATATTTTTCTTTTTTTTTGTAACACTTCCTCCCTTCTCTGACTAGCAAATACTCTGCAGATTCTGAACATTAGCAGGAGGAGAAAGTGGGATCTCTAAGATTTATGGCATAATATCATTTATCTGATTACTTATCTTCCAATAATGCATTCTTAAATGAATTTAAAATATCATTCATTTATTTAAAAAAAGAAAAAGAGAAATAATGACCCCAGCACATGAACAATCTTGTAATTACTCATGTTCTTATCTGAAATGATCATTTAAAAAAAGATTGCAGAGTGAAAAGGTTTCTTTACAGCACAGCTTTACTTGTAAAACTAAAACCTCAAGTACCACATATTTAGCATTTAAGGGCTCATCCATCAGAAAGCCAGACTCCGTGATGTAGTACTTCATAACAAAGAGAAAACATGACCGAGGACACAGAGCAAGAGATTAAAGCAGCTTTCAAAGGGTGCATCGCTCAGCCAGGGATTGCCAGTAAGAATATAAGCAGGTGCATTTGTACATTTACTGTTCCTCATCTTTCATGAAATGCGGCAAAGGAAAAGGACTTACACGACACTGGAGTACACTTGGACGTCTGCAGAATAATTCTGCACAGAGCAGGGAGTCAGAAATATGTGCAGATGAATATACATGCAGGAGTCATTACAGAACAGAAGCATACGTGGTCTGTACCGCAAAGATGACAGATATAACACAAACAAGACAAAATAAAGAGCAACTGGTGAAGCAAGACTGCGTATCCTGCAGGTACTGAAGAGGATTTTAGGAGGGATGTGAAGGTGTGCCGTGGGTGCTTGACAGACAAAGACTAAAACAGAGCGCAAGAAATAGGCAGCATCACTGGAGTGAAAAGGGCAAATATCTGCCGTGGTACTGTACAATAAGAAGCCCACTACATTCTTAAAAATGATCTCATCACAGTGAGTCATTAGTTCAATTGCATTTCACACCATTCAGCCTAAGGCAAGCAGAACTGTACAGGACTCTACAGATGCTAATTCCAGCAAATGCATTGTGGCAATTTGAGCAATAAACACCAGTTTGCGCCTATTCACCGTCCCTGGGGTATTAGTTGATATCTGACCATGTTTTTTTCTAACTTGCAAATGTAGTTCTGCTCAGTTTTAAACTATGAAATGAGGTCAGCCCCACTAAAAATACAAAAAGCCGAAGAGAATGCCAGTAGCTACTACAGTGCCCAGGAGCCATACCTGAACAAACCAGCACAGCACAAGCAGTGAGACACAGATGTAAATAGATCTCAAATGCCTCGTTTCGAGACAGCTACAATTTTTACAGGTCATAACACACTGCTACCTGGTCAGAAGTTCTGTTTGCTTCATTAGTACCAGGGGAATAAGAACTGCTACAGTGCCTTCTAAATATATTAGATCAGAAATGTATACCTCTGGATACATATTAAATCAATACAGCTCTCTTCCTTCAAAATTGTTATCTAAATCCAAACACACACACATACTATACATCATTATTATATTCTGCACACACCCAAAGTAGAGTTCAATACTAGCATCTATTTCATATTTACATGGAAGTGTTTTTAATAAGTGCATCTCTGATCTAAACAGACACTAAGCTCCACCATGCACATACTTCAACACCTTCTCTTATTGTTGGTTTTTTTTTCCAATAGGATATACGGTTTACCTAGGCTTTAGAAGGAATTTTTTTCTGCTCTATTAACCACTATATACATTGTACTGCAATGCACATGATAGCTCTTTATCAGCATTGGTGTATGTGCCAGTATCAGCATTCCTTTATGTCTGAGTATTGTAGACATGTTTGTTTCCTCTGAAGAACAGTGTTTTAGTCACCAATTGTTGTTAAAATCTTTTTAAAAAGAAGAAACTGCAGCATTCCTTTAACAAATTTCCAGGGTAGTATTGAAAGATACAGAATAGACCAACTTACCCTTCCCTTCCCCACCGTTCAAACAAAATACCTCAAATGTACAGCACAGGACAATCTGCGTCAGACGTAGGACCTTCCAGCTTCACAAAAGCCAAACCCCCCTCCCACTTCACACATCCTGCTGCAGTATCACTGAATTCATTTGTCTTACACTAAAGACAGAGAAGAACTTGACTGTGTAATTACCTTGCCCCAACTCACAGAACAACCTCACAGTTCAACAGAAAATTAAATATGGGCGTTGCTTTTTGTTTTGCTGGGGGGTTATGTGGAACAAAATGCAACAAAGGGACGTCATAAGTGACTAATAGGAAAATCAAAATCGACTCATACCCAGTGGCTGTTAATGAAGGATACAAAGTACATTGAGAATACAGGTCAACAGAAAAAGGGCACGAGGCATAAGAACTCTGTGAGGAGACTGCGGTCATCGCGACTGCAGAATGGGGGAGGGCGACCAGCACTTGTCACAAGGAGCATGCTAACCTTGTTCCTCATATTGTAACAGAAACACGCAACAGCTGGTCTTTGAATCATCAAGTGTGATGAGAGCTTTTCACAAAACCGCTAGGAGCAGCAGGGAGAGCCACATGACTAGCAGCTCCAAAGGCTCTGATTTAACGAGCTGTATGCAGAATAACAGCCAAACCCAGCGTTATCCCATTAGCTCTTGGACTAGAGATACACCATACATTCTGCTGAGTACAGTGTGCTTACAGAGCACAAGCAGTGTAGCACAAGTAGTCTAAGAATGGAGCTGAAACTAAAACATTAGATGTCTGTTCCCAGTGATAAATCTTAAAAAATTCAACTGAATTTTCCTTCGAATTGGCATTGGTCAGATAACCAGTTTGTCTTGATGCTTCAGAAGCATCACAACCACAATGTGCTTTCAAATATTTCGTCTTTGTCTTAATTTCTTATTGTAGAGTATTAAATTGAAGCACAAATGCCATTAGAGACTTCAACATTATTTAAAAGAATGCAACTATTATAAACTGAGTCAGAGGGAAGAAATCTTTTCTATTGCATTTATTTGGGCCCCTCACTACAAGAAAGATATTGA